ACACGCCTGTGTTTCCAGCCCCTGCGCCAACGGGGGCACCTGCCATGAGGTGCCCGACGGTTTCGAGTGCCACTGCCCGCCAGGCTGGGGCGGCATCACTTGTGCCATAGGTGAGTCTCAGATTACCCCCCCACCCCCACCCCCACCCCCCACACTTTGCCAGGCCCCGTTGGAGCACCAGCATGCTGGACATGTGTCATTAATGCTGACAGCGGGACGCCTCCGAAATTCAGCAGTGGGCACCAGGATTAAAGGGGGGGGGGGGTCCTGACCAGGGAGACAAGATGAGACGAGGGGATTTACATAATCTCTGCTCCTTTGAACCGGCCTGTGTTTAGCTGTTGGATGGAGGTTAAGCCTTTCTATCTGGCACTGGGAAGCTTGCAGTCTTTATTCTTTGCATCTCCTGACCTTCTTGTTCCCGTCACTCTCAACTCAAGCAGCCCTGATCTGGTTGTCTACAGTAATTTGGGGCCAAATCAGTATTGTTCAGACACAATTTAACACCCCCATCCACAAACCCCTAGAGTACTGTGCTGAACCTTCCTTTATTGCAATGCACCACCACCCCCCCATCCCATTTACAACAGAAAGCACTTCCCCAGAGTAAAATGTCTTTGTGCCTTTATCGGACATGTAAGAACTGGGGTGTAATAGCTGTTAATCTGCTGGACCTGGATTATGCAAAGGCTAATCACGTTACAGTGTGAAGTCAAAAGCATGTTCACACAAAGGCACTGGGCACTTATCTGGATCCCTGCCAGTGAGCCACTCCAGTAGCGGGGATGCTCTGCGAGTCTGTCTAGCCGTTGGTGTAGCCTTATTGTGTTTTCATACCTTGCAGATAGGCTCTCCGTTTACTCTGTCTGTCGCCCCACAATCATGGGCAATCTAAACAGAAATGGTTCACATGACAGCTGCTACAGTCATTGTGGAGGGTATTTACCATGGTGTACCTAAGTAACGGTGTAAAATGGTGCAAGGCTGCGAGTTTGTCCACCGGCATCCTGGCTGACCGGATATGTTTCCGGTATATGTGACCGGATATATTCTATCATCCAGAGACACTTATTTTAAGGTTAGCAATACCACATGTGTAAAGAGAGCTGGCAAGTGTGCATGTGTACATCTGAGCCTCACTTTAGTGCGCTGTGTATGTGTGAACCTCATTTCAGAGCGCTGTGTATCTCTGAGTCTCATTTCAGAGCACTGTGTATCTCTGAGTCTCATTTCAGAGCGCTGTGTATCTCTGAGCCTCATTTCAGAGCGCTGTGTATCTCTGAGTCTCATTTCAGAGCGCTGTGTATCTCTGAGCCTCATTTCAGAGCGCTGTGTATCTCTGAGTCTCATTTCAGAGCGCTGTGTATCTCTGAGCCTCATTTCAGAGCGCTGTGTATCTCCGAGTCTCACTTCAGTGCTTCTCCCTCCAGATAAAGATGAATGTGCCTCCAACCCCTGTGCCCAAGGTGGCACCTGCATCGATCTGGAGAATGGCTTTGAGTGCCTGTGTCCCCCACAGTGGGCTGGAAAGACCTGCCAGATAGGTAAGGCTGAGCTGCTGAGACGAGCTTGTCGGCCAGGCGGGGGCAGTACTGCGAGATGGACCGAGGCCTGCAGTCAGAGCTTGATTGCATGTTTTCTTTAATGTGCTGGGTAATGGTTGGCCGGCTGGCCCGCGATTTGGGCGTATGACCCTTTGGGCGTATTAAGGCCCCTTTTCCGGCGGATTTCTAATTTGAACCAGCTGCATGGGCTACATGTCTCCCGCAACCCGATCCGGGTGACTTGAGTAAGGCTATAAATAATGCATGGCCTTGCAACTGCTTGCCTTGGGACTAAATTTACTGTGATGGGGTTTGGGGGGAGGGGGCGATCTGGGGGTGTAGATTGGGTGGCAGGGCAGGCATGTCGCTTGGGTCCTACCCCCCTGGTGTGAGATTTGTGGAGGAAACCGGACAGGAGAGGAAACTGTTTATAACCTGTAAACAGAAGGAGGCCACATTCAAGCCAAAGTCTAGGCTTGCTGGCGCGGTGCTGAGTCCGGCTCCCCTTTCATCCATTAGGCGGCACCTGAATGCCGGCGTTGGATTTCATAGAGGGGACAGGTGCACCTCAGAGAAATGATTTGCACATTGATGGCCCCTCCTGAATATTTTAAGCCCTAATAAGCGTGAGGTCTTTGATGGGATGGGTGCTGGAGCCCCTTTTCCCGCTTGGTTTCTGTTTGGAAAACGAGCTCCGATTTCCGCGACTGCTGGTGGGCGCACAATGCTGATGAGATCTGAGAGAATTCATTACTGCTGGTGCAGGAGGAGCCGGCCAGGGCTGCTGGACCAGGGGCTGCCGTCATGCGCTTCGTGCCTCCAGTTCACTTTGAAGGGCATAAAAATTTTATAAAGCCGAGTGTGAATGCTGGTCTCCTAGGAGACCGTCTGTTGGTGTTGCTGCGGTTGATGCTTATTGTGCCCCCTGTAGGGCTTTGGGTGGGTGGCGGCTGGTGGTGGAGGCGCGTTCTCAAGCCTCTCTCTCTCTCTCTCTCTCTCTCTCTCTCTTCTTCTGCCTGTTGCTCTACTCCACAGATGTTAATGAATGTGCGGGGAGACCTTGCCTATATTCTTACTCTTGTAAAAACTTAATTGGTGGATACCATTGCGACTGTTTTCAAGGATGGGCTGGACAAAACTGTGAAATCAGTCAGTATATCTCCTTGTCGCACAGCTGTCCTTTTGCACAAATCTCTTGCTGCCATTCCAGGACACCCTCTCCTGCCTTAAAGCAATTACTGCTTTCTGGAGCAGCTAAATGTAGATGCTTTCTACACTGTCTCTGCTTATCTCTATATGGATGAATATATAAACCTCGGCATAATGAAATCTAAAACACAAGAGACAGGCTTCTCCTATCGCTGGTTCCTCCTGCATGCGATTTAAAGGCTTTCTGTTCTTCAATGTGACTAAACCGTCGTCTCTCTGTTCACAGAGTTCCCTTATGTATGCATGCATGCACTGAGCATGTTTCTGAACTGCATGCCCCATGTAAGCACTCCATATTTGAATGCTGACCTTTGGTAGAATGATCACTTACTTCTGATACAGATCTCAACGGCTGTCACGGACAGTGTCAGAATGGAGCCACCTGCAAGGTAGGTCTGCAGCGCAGGTCTAGCTAGTTTATGTACTGTTGAAATTTAGGTTCAGTGCTTTTGCTTAAGGGTACATCATTTGGTAACATGATAATGAAAGCCATGTCTTTAAGAATCTATGAACATAGTCATAACACATTATAATGCATTCACAAAGCATTATGAACATGGCTATAAATATTCATAACAAGACACATTATAGCCATATTTATTATGCGTTATAAATGCTTTATGAAGCTCTCCTCTATAATGCACTATCAATACCTTTATAATGCAGTACAAAGCATCTTTCATTCTAATACCAACCATTATAATGCAATCTATAGTGCATTATAGATGAGAGCTTCATTGGAGCTTATGAAGTATCATAACCAACACTATAATGCCTTATGACTCTCAATAGAAGATGGTGTAATGCTTTAATTCTTATACCAAGCATTATGATGTATTATGAAGGTATCTGTAATGCATTATAGATGAGAGCTTCATTGGAGCTTATGAAGTATTATAATCAACGCTATAATGCCTTATGACTGCCAATTGTAGATGCTGTAATGCTGTATTAATTCTAATAGAAAGAATTATAATACACTCTGAAGGTAACTATGATGCATTATACATGACAGCTTCAAATAAAGTGTTGCCCATAATTTTTTCTATGCTCAGCCTCGGACACGGCTTTCCCCTCTGCCTTACAGGAGGGCCCCAGGGGATACCAGTGCCTGTGCCCGCCGGGAATTGTGGGTAGACACTGTGAGGTGCTGCAGAATAAGTGTATCAGCAGTCCTTGTCATAATGGTGGGCGGTGCAGCGCCGTGCTGGACGGCTTCCTGTGCGACTGCGTGGAGGGTTACTCCGGATCTTTGTGCGAGGTGAGCCGGCAGCAGTCGATGTGGAGAGCTCAGACGGTCCACGGTGACCCAGACTCCGCCTCCTCACACTGTAAATCTGAAGCTTGCTCTTCGGTCACTAGTCCAGCTTCTGAACCGCCGCCTCACCTGCTTCCTCATATCACAAGCTTGAGTCCTTTCCAGGAGAGATGAGGACAGGGTGTCCACCCTCTGAATTACTGGCGGCAATCTCTGAATATCAGAGGTGAACGTCCAAGTAAACGGGTCCTCACAACAGCAGATGTGTGTTTATAAAAGGCTCCAGTGTGTGGAAAGTTCTGAGTGGAAGCCAGGAGCATTGGCTCACTGTTAGGTGGGGGGGGGGGGGATAAAAATAAGGGCGTTGTAGATGAAGTAACTCTTATTTGGGGCACCCTGGCTAGCTGCCTTCACTGCTCCCAGGATAGTTAAACTGCTACCAAGCAACAGGATAATGGATTGGCATTAGATACAGGAGCCATGTACAGTGAGGGCAAAAGTAAGCTATTTCTGTGGGTTATTATAAAGGGTTTCACAACGAATAAGGCCGCTTGTGCAAGTCTGTTCTGCTATAGGAAGAGAGGTCACCCGTTTGGGGTTAGCCTGCGTCTCTTAGTGAAAGACCCCAACCTAATTCACTCTGTCCTATTAAGCAAGACGCGTCCAGGCTGCAACAGCAGAAATGTAGCTCAGCTCGCCAGGCTTGCGGGTCGAGTCCATCCGCCGGGGCTGGAGGGACGTGCTGCTCCCTGCACTGGATATCGCCTTAAATGGCCACAGTTGCACCACTGGTTTATGTGCTGGCCGTTTTTGTTTAAGTTGTCCGCCCCCCCCCCCCTAATGATGTGCGACCTCACAAAACTGGGAAAGGGGAGAAATGTGCGCTTGTGTTATGGGAGGTGGAAGTTTCAAATTCCTGGCCATCCGGGAGCGGGGGGGGGGGGGGGGGNGGGGGGGGGGGGTATTACTGGGGCGTCCAGAATAGGCTTCCTGCCAGTCAGAGATAAGATACCAGGGACTATCCTGAGGTTTAGGCAAGCAGAAGCTGATATCCCTCTCTTAAAAGAGCTTACCAGTGGATGCGGGAGTTTATCTCTGAGTTTATTTGACGGTTTTAAGTAGGATGCAGCTCCAGGATACGTCTAACATTTTCTCTTGCCTGTGCATGTCACTGCAGGTGAGGAGTAATCCCTGTAGTCCGAGCCCCTGCCAGAACAAGGCCGTCTGCCACAGCCTTCTGGATGATTACTACTGTGCCTGTCCTGAGGATTATGAGGGCAAACACTGCTCTGACCTGAAGGACCACTGCAAGACCACACCTTGTGAAGGTAACGACACGTAACCAAGTCTGTTTTTTGTCGCTTCCTTGTTCAATGTTCCTGTTGAGAGTGAACTTGATGTTAGTCGTTACCTTGCTTCATTTCCAGTGATTGACAGTTGCACCATTGCCGTGGCGACCAATGCGACTGAAGAGGGGGTGCGGCATATCTCATCCAATGTGTGCGGCCCCCACGGCCGCTGCATCAGCCAACCAGCCGGCAACTTCACTTGTGCCTGTGAGCGCGGATTCACCGGCACCTACTGCCACGAAAGTACGCCCTAGGCCCGCTCCACAGAAATTCCCCATCGCATTTTCTGCAGTTTCAGACTCACACTCACTCCTCTTTCCCCAGACATCAACGACTGTCTGTCTAGTCCTTGTAATAATGGCGGCACCTGCATCGATGGGATCAACTCCTTCCAGTGCTTCTGCGCCGATGGCTGGGAGGGCAACCTGTGTGACCTTGGTGAGATGGCCCATGTCCTTCAGGAAATCAGACTTGAGTGGCTAGTGCATTCTGGGAATCATAGTTCCCAGGACTCTCCATGATCCAGGCCTCCATTTCCCATCATGCTCACTCGAGGCAGTGGCATCTGCAGAAAATTTTGATTGGGGCAGCCATCAGTAGGCCAGTTATAGTTCTGCTTAGAAAATAATGCATGGTGCTAGTGGAGGGGTTTGGGATCCGCAGCCCATGCCGTCGCACTAATGTCCCACATGTCCGCTGCAGATGTCGACGAGTGCAGCCGCAATCCCTGCAAGAACGGCGGCCGCTGCATGGACCTGGTGAATGATTTCTACTGCGAGTGTGCTGACGGCTGGAAGGGCAAGACGTGCCACTCACGTGAGTCAGTGGACCGGGGCGAGGCGCGTTCGGTTGTTAGCGCGCGTAAGCATGCATGCATGCATGCATGCATGCATCCTGCTGACGCGCTATGGCATCCCCCCCTGCAGGAGATAACCAGTGTGATGCCGGCACCTGCAGCAACGGGGGAACGTGCTACGATCATGGCGACGCCTTCCGCTGCGTCTGTCCCCTAGGATGGGCGGGCAGCACGTGCAACTCGGGTCAGTCCTGCCATCATCTGGCGTGCAGTGCAGCTCTCGCTGGGCTGCGATGAAGAGAGAGCCCTGCGTTGGCTCCGTACTCTTAATAAACATCTGCTCTGCCTTTCAATTCAGCTCAGAACAACAGCTGTGCTTCTGGGCCCTGCGAGAACGACGGCACTTGTGTGGGAGGCGGGGACGCCTTTACTTGCATCTGCAAAGATGGCTGGGAGGGCCCCTCCTGCGCTCAGAGTAAGCCCCAATACTTTAAGGAAATGGTGGGAAACCTTATTCTTATTGTCCATACTAGGGGGTCTCCTGACAGTAACAGAAACTACATTTGTGTCGCAGAAGATCTACTTCTCAGAATTGTGCTGTAAGTGGTGGGAGGATTTAGGACGATTTCCAGGGTCCCTTACAGACAGGAGCCCTAAAAAATTGGGAGCATAACTGGATTGGTCTGAGTTGGGGGCCCAATTTGATATCATGTGACCCGAAATATCTAGTGACACCTCTGCATGCGCTAAACCAGGCTAATCCTGATTGTGAGTATATGCAGATGTGTGAATCCATTTTAATCTTTCCTTGCAGATGCTGATGACTGCAACCCGCACCCGTGGTAAGTCAGTTTGGTTAAACAAGCGGCAGTTCTGTGCAGCCAGTGGGTGGGGCGTGTGGGTGGCGGTGCTGCCATTGTTTGTCGTTGCCCCCGCTGGTGGCGCCTTTGTTGGAGTGCCCCTCACCCCAGCTCGCCTCTAACCTACTCCCCCCCCAAGCTCGCCCCTAACAATGCCAGGTCTGAATAGCTGTCCCTCATCCAGTTTGCTGGGCATCCGTCCCAGAGCCAGGGCAGAGATTGTAAAGAGCATAAGATGTCCGTAAATTAGTCTTTCCCAACCCGGTCCTTGGGGACCCACAGATGGTCCACGTTTTTGCTCCCTCCCAGCTCCCTGCTAGACAGTCCACATTTTTGCTCCCTTACCAAAGAGCAGGGATGAAGCAAAAATGTGGACTGTCTGTGGGTCCCCGAGGACTGGATTGGGAAACACTCCCCTAAATCATCCTTAAAGCTGACAGCTTGGCCACCTGGGCCCTTATTAATCAGAAAGCTGTGCTGACAAAGGCCCAGGGTCCATAAAGAGTCCCTCAATGAATGGCATAGGGATTAGTGTGGGGGTGCAAGTCGCTCCCTTCGCAATTCTTCACTGTTGACCCGCGAGCAGGGTGGGTTGTGGTGGGGGTAGGGAGGGTTCTGGGAAGAGTCTGGATTTACATTTGAAGGGTATTGATAAGTGGGATCAGTCTTTGTGGTATTGGCTCCGCCCACCGCCTGCCACACCCCTTCATACTCACACTGAGTCTCACACAAGTGGTGGCCGTAACATTGATTTTATTTTGTTTATTTTTTTTCACAGCTACAACAGCGGCATTTGCGTGGACGGGGTCAATTGGTTCCGTTGCGAGTGTGCCCCAGGATTTGCCGGTCCGGACTGCCGCATCAGTAAGTACCCGTGAGCACGTGTGCGTGTATTGGCGTTTGAACACGGATGGGCTGCCAGCGAGGGCTGGGGGGCAGCACAACTGTGGGGGTTAGGGATCTGTGTTCCCAAAACTTAGATTAAGGGGCATCTCACGACCTTTGACTTCTGCAGGGAGCAGAGGTCAGCTGTATCCCCAAACAGACAAGTTGAATTATTCATTGACCCCCCCCCCCCCAGAGTCCTTCTCCTTCCCAGGAAAATGGGCCCTTTGTTTCGTTTCTTTCTCTCATTTTCTTTCTTTCTTTGCACAAGGGATGTGGACAGAAGAAAGAAAGAGGTGGCACACATAGCTTCTGTGCTTCCTGTTTTTTTTTCCTTCGGGGAGGGGGGGGGGAGGGTGTGGACCAGTTGACATCACGTGACTGTCTTTCCCAGAATGCACAGCCCACTCAAGTCTGACATATTTCCCAAGGATGCTCGGCCTGTTCCGCTGCGCTTTTATTGTTCATGCGAGTGGCCAGTTGGATGCACGATGAGCCTCCTGGGGGTGTCAACTTGTGCTGGACCTCTGACCCCTGACCTCTGCCCCTACCTACGCAGACATCGATGAGTGCCAGTCGGCGCCCTGTGCCTATGGTGCCACCTGCGTGGACGAGATCAACGGCTTCCGCTGCGTCTGCCCCCTGGGCCGGGCCGGGCCTCTCTGCCAGGAGTGTAAGTTACCCTAATCCTAACCCTAACCCCAACCCTAATCCTAACCATAATCCTGAGGATCAGGTGTATGTGTTTTCTCCTTATGACATTTATTATGCTAATCTACATATCTTGCAATGCCACATCATTGCCCCCCCTGCAGTTATAGGCATTGGGAAGCCGTGTCGCTTTGACGGCCTGCAGTATCCCCATGGCAGCCAGTGGGATAATGAGTGCAACACTTGCCAGTGTGTCAATGGTGATGTCAAGTGCACCAAGGTAACACCACTCTCCCCTTCCTACAACCCCCGCCCCCCCCCCCCATCCCTCTGCCCCTGTATGAATCTTCGCCACACTACAGGATGTATTTTAAAGAGTGCTGTGTTTTAAATGCTGAAAAAAGATCTTAAGTACACAATGGCACCAATGTTTTAGTATCTGGTGGCCACAGATAGTGTCTGGCCAGAGGCTGAAATCTGGTCTTGCCGATATTTCTGGAGAAATCTACCTTAGGGTCATTCTGATCTTAGCATACGGGAAAGCTTTGTGGCTGCTCAACTCTGACCTGGCATGTATAAATTCCGAGAAGAGGTCTGCTTTCGTTTTTCGGGGAAAAACACTAAATCATATGAATTATTTGTCAAAGGTGACAACCTTATCAGCATGTTGTTTGGTTCTGTATGTGTGTGTGTGTGTGTGTGTGTGTTTCTTTTCCAGACCTCATCCTGATCTGACCTGAATGTTTGCAGGTGCTGTGTGGACGTCGGCTTTGTCTTCTTCAGACTCCACAGGGACAAGAACGTCCCTCCTGTCCAAGGGGACAGCAATGTGAGGAGCACCACTTTCTTACCTGCTTCTCGACCCCTTGCCACCAGTGGGGGGTGTGTTCCTCACCCGACCCCCCGACCCCCACTGAAACAAAGTGCGAGCCCAACAGCGGTTACCTGGACAACAGCTGTGCCCGAATCACACTCCTCTTCACCAAGGCCAAAGTTCCACAGGTGAGGTGCCCATTTCTTAAATGCCCTCGGGGTAGTTCACCCCCCCGCCAGCCTTGCAGAACATTTCAGGAAGAGTTATACCTGGGATATCTTCCCGTATGTGCTTGTATATTCTAGGGCACCACAGTGGAAAATATCTGCATGGAGCTGAGATACCTACCAGCTACTCGAACCCTGGCTAAAGACCGATCCCTTCTGGTACTCTGTGACCTCTCCTACTCCAATCACAATGCGGTAGAGGTAGCCATTGTAAGTACACGTTATGGCCTTGGTCTTAGTCCATGGGTTGCTGTACCTATTTATCGGTTAATAGTTTTCATTTTGATTTGTGAGCATAGCATGTTTATATTCCTGCAGCATGAAAGCATTTTACAGCACCTTCTATTTATGATAACAGAATCTGTAGGTCTTTCAAAAGGGATCTTCTATAATTATCCAAAAATTCTAAAAGATTGATGCGTTTGCCGTCATCGTCAAAGTGTTGGTTTACGAATCTCTGGTTGTTGGCTGGGTGTGTATAAGCCGAGAAGCGTCTCTCGCTTTTAAGATCCCATCATCACACCACACCTCGGGTTCTGCTGCCTGGGCTTCTCAGTCTGGCCAGATTAACTCGGCCACCCAGGTTCTCCGCTGTCAAAGCTAAACTGAGGGGAAGTCAGCTGGTGCAGCACACAAAACCTTAATGGATGGAAATTTGATTTTGCCTGAGTTACTTGGGTTTTTTCTGGGATTCACCGCCATCTCAGTGCTGCTTTGCGTCAGGCCTGGTTTTTCGTGGTGCAGTTTCTCATGGCTTGGCCTGAACCCTGGAGTATATTGCAACCGAAGCTAGTATGTTGTAAGTGGAGATTAACGGTGCTCTGAGTAATCCTCTCCTACATAGTACGACCACTGGGAGTTACAGCTGCATATTGAGGGTTTGTGTAAGTACTGATATGTTGCCCCCCTACTCTCCCAGTCCTTCCAACAGGAGGAGCAGGACAACAGCCAGATACAGGAGGTGGCCAGTGCCATTGTTAACGCATTATCCAAGAGGCACAATAGCACCATCATGCTCTCTGTCGTGGAGGTGAAGGTGGAGACGCAAGTTGTGTCCCAAACTGTTGGTGAGTGAGATGGAGCATTGAGTTGGTTATTAGACTTTGTTGTGTTACTCTAGCAGAATTTGATTTTTCATCAAGGAGCCATAAATCATTTCATACACTAATACATTAAATGCAAATCTGAGCGGGATGCATAACACCCACTGCAGTGCAGCAGATAATTAAGAGCTGGACCTCAATGGCCTGAAAAGCAGCTTCATTAAGACACCAAACCCAGCACATGTGTTGCTCCAGATCACCGTGTATACATTTTAAGATTGCTACATGGATGAAATCTGGCATTTAAAATAGAAGTAAAGTAACCGTATGGCTTTTTTAACAAAAGTATTAAATTCCTCCAGCACCATGCCAGTAAAGCTGTATAAAAGCTAAAGTGAAGCAATTTTATAAATACTTGGTTAAATTCTAGGAATTCTCTTCGAGGGAGTGAGCTATTTGCATGCTTAGTTGCCTCATGTTGGAACATTGTTTTGGTCCACCTGTTCTTCATTTATGAGTTGTGCAAGAGAATGGCTTGAATTGAATTCCAGGCAAGAGTATCATTCTGTATACTTCAAACATCAGTATATACTTAAATAAATTGTGCCTTGACTTGTTTGAAGCTTTGTACTTCTGATTACTTCAAACTAAAAACATTGCTTGGGTTGGACTGGTGGTTTTGCTTAGCGTTTAGTTAGTGTTGAGCCTTCCGCCCATAAATAGCTTTTATTTTGACGCTGGATACCCACCCCCTTACCCAGACTACCTGGTGCCCCTGCTATGCGTGCTTTTCTGTGTGCTGTGGCTCTTCTGCATCGCCATCTGCATCTGGTGGACGCGCAAACGGAGAAAAGAGCGAGAGAGGCAGCAGCAGACCCCGGCGACAGAGGAGAGCATCAACAACCAATGGGAAGCACTGAAGCCTTTGTCCCAGCAACAGCCCAAAGACAACCGGGACGCCCAGCACGAGTGCAAGAAGCTCATGTACTCCCCCGATAGAACTTGTGACGGGGCAGAGGACGAGGAGGAGGACGAGGAGCGGGAAATGGGGACAATGGAGGTGGATAAGTGCCCCCCCAAGAAGTGCACAAAGGCTGCAGCGCAGACCAAGAGGGCTGTCATCTACATAGGCCAGAGCTCGCCACTCAGGCGGCCTCACCGGACAGCTCCCAGCCCCAAGGACAACCGCTACAAGCACATCAATGATTCCAAAGGCATTGAGGACATCAAAGACCATTATGTATGAACCATCTTAAAGATTCGGGGGGGGGTGGGGGGGGGGGAACTTTACATGATTTCAAAACGCTTCAAAAAGTAATTTTTTATTGTTTTCTGTGAATAATTTTAATTTCTGTGAAAAAAAACAGAGAATCATTTTGATATTCACATTATTTTCTATGTACAGCAAAAAAAAAAAAAAAAACTTTTTTTTTTTTTTTTAACCAGATGAGAAAGTCTGATTTTGGGGTTTTAGAAGCAAGAATTGGGGGGGGGGGGGTTGTAGAAATGTTTTTGTTTACAGATTATAATTATTGCTTTATTTTAATGAGAGAGCACTGTATGTATATTGTTTAATGGTATGTGGCTTACAACACTGTCCCTAAAGGACAACGAGGAATCGACAGCCAGCTCTCGGTTCCTATGTCATATCGTACTACTGTCTGCCCGGACCTGCCTTACTGAGTGCATGGTGGGATTGAGGGGGGTTTCCGGTGCTGTTCCTCTGAAGTGGCCTTTGTTTCACTTATTACCTTTAAAACTGCGTGAGGATCTCAGTATTTGTTGTCGGTAGCAAGTGCCTTCAGAGCCCTTCGCTTGCATCCCGGCTGTCGCCGTCGACCTAGCGATTAGCATCTGGACAAAGGGAAGCACTTCAGAACTCTCCATATCACCATAAAGGTATTTGATCAAAACAGAATGTGTACATATGTATATAATAAAGCAACCGCTGTGTATATTTGAGTTTAGTAACTTAAGACGTTTTGTATTATAATTATTTTGTTTGTAAAAAAAAAAAAATGCCATTCCTTTTATTTATGTGAGCTGATAAAGGCTGGTTTTGTAATGGGTCAGTGGATATTTAGCATCTTCTTCGGATTCTTCTTGCATATAACCATTGATCTTTTATTTGCTTGTTGTTGTTTTTGATTGCTTTAAACCCTAACACTGAATGGTTGTGTATCGTGTGTCGCCATGTTGGTTTGCCTCTTCGTGGGGGTGCCCAGTCCCACTCATGCTGCTTAAATCTCCCTGTGGAAGCTTCCAAGTCGGCTCGGCCTCCAGCGTACTCTGCTCCACTTTGTAAAACACTAGTACGTGCGATACTAGCTTCAGTTAATTATTTTATTTTGCTTTGGATTTATGCCTAATGAAGGGAACAATTTTTTTTTTGTTGTCGGTTGAGCATTTGTTCTGTGTAGTGTGGCGATGAGATGTACCACTGGGAAAAAGGATTACCGCTGAAGAGACAGTCAGCGGGATCTCTTTAATTTTCCTTCTGATGTTTAATACAGCTGTTCTTGAACTTGCATCTTGTTTTATCCTTTGGGACAATGCAAAATAAAGCAGTTGAAACAACACACACAACAGCTGGTATACACAATTACATTGGGATGACTGAAGAAAAGAAAACTTACTTTTAAAAGACATTTTGTCCATTTGCTAGAAATAAATTGAATTATTTATTAAAGTATTTCAGTGGTCCTTCACAAGCTATGTGTGTGCACATGTAGTTCGGAACCTAAACAAAAACACCGAAATAGTTTGACTTCTCATGAACATGACCTTCCCCCTGTCTTCTGGGTGAAAAAAAAACATAATCTTATAAAGAATCAAAAAACACTATGGTTGCATGCAGTTCTTCAGAGATCATTCCAAATGTCTAAATCTGGGGTGGACAAAAAGGCAGTTTGCAATCGACCACCAAGGGCAGGTCAGATTCCTGTCCTTTATTTAACTTGTTAAATTTCTGCAGTGTCAAATAATTTAGCAATCAAGAAATATTCAACATTTGGTCCTGAAGAGAAAGGGATCGAAATTCCATATAAGATGTCTAACCTATTCAGCCAGGTAAAAGGAGATTTAACACTTTACCTTCACTGCACCTTCATAATGCCTTTATAACGCTTTCATAGAACATTCATGAACAGCATGCAAGTATAAAATGTTTGTTATTAATGTATAGTAAAGTTGTTAAGGTATGTTAGGATGTTAAGGTATACTTACATGCTACCTAAGAATGCATTATGAATGCACTATGAATGTGCAGTTACTGTAAAGCGTTACCGATTATTCTTCTTCAGACCAACCATATAAATCACACTTGGAGGCTCTGTCTTCCTGGTCCAGGCCTGTCAATTGGAAATGAAAGTCATGTATTTTGAGGCCTTCGTTTTAGAAGTCAACCTACTCTCTGCCACTGCCCACCTCCTTCAGTAAGTAATAATAGTAGAAATAAGGAGCCTTGGAACTGGCTCTGTCTCAGTGCAGCATGTAGCTGAAAACCAACACCAGATTCATGGAGTGACTGGCAGCGGTCAAGGACAGCTCCCCTACGCAGGTTTGTACTGTACATACATCTCGTACACTGGCCCCGGTTATCCACGTACTGTAGACCCGGGTATATCCATGAAAGCCAGCATTCTGGTTCATCTGTTTTGACAGCTGTGCTCCGTTTTGGCTGCGATTTCACGGCAACCTTTGAAAACCCCATTATTTCTACATTATGATGCCCATAGGAGGTTAAGGTGCAAGTGTTAGGTGAGAGTCACAAAAAATGAACTCTTAGCCGTTGTTTGATTTTGCTGATTATCTGAAAAAGCAGCTCATGCCTGGGTGGTTGTATGCTGCTGTACTGTACTGCTTTAATGTGGGATACACACCTCTACGGACAATGGCTGACTGTCCTGTGAATCTGGTTTCCCAATGGGGGTGAGGATGGATTGATCCTAGTCTTCTCCCCGATGACACTCTTTGAACTCGACTGGAGGTCGGTCTGATACTTCGTGCTCTCTTCTGTTCAGGAGATGCAGAGCTAGTGAGGATGTAAACAGAGGTGTCTAAATGCAGGCCTGCAGGCAAATCTAAACAGTAGGAAGACAATCCCAAATGCACCCCTGCAGGCAAATCTAAACAGTAGGAAGACAATTCCAAATGCAGGCCTGCAGGAAAATCTAAATAGTAGGAAGCCAATCCAAAATGCAGGCCTGCAGGCAAATCTAAACAGTAGGAAGACAATCCCAAATGGACCCGCCCTTGTAGCCTCTATTCAAGGCTGCGTGATGAAGCAAGTTCTGCACTAAACCCGGTACAGAGCTCTCTGAATTCTCTATATAATTATATATCGCAAGCCAGGACAAATACCTGCAGCCATAAATTTGAAGAGGGTTCATTTCAGTGCTTTCATGGGATGGTCATTTATACAATGCTTAGGTGACAGACATGACAGATCAGTCATTGATTATATGCTGTTTCATCCTGCTCACACAGTTTTAATGGCAGTATGATTTTGCAGGACTGGAATTAAAGCACCAGTTCAGGCGTGACAGTAAGCGCGTTCATTTTCACTACGCAATGACGAAAGCGAAGACGCTAAATGAAAGGTTAGTGCCTGAATGACTGCTAACGACAATGACCTGTACGCTCTGTTATTATGATAAGGGGCTCATTACATATATGGCAGTTATGTGGTGCGTGACTGATGTTTGGTTCAGTCAGGGTTTCAGATATTTTGGGAGTCTATTTTGTTTTTATGCAGCCAGACATTCAGGGAACACATCTACTGTACAGCAGGTGTGTTCTTTTAGGACCCAGAGTTTTCCCTGTTGTCCTCCCAGCCAACTACAGCCTCCTTTTAAAGGACCCTTTAACAACTCCTCTCACAGATGCATTTTCACAGCCTGTTTAGTACTTGATCCGTGCATTTGCAGAAACTTAAGAACTTCAAACTTCCCAGGAAAACCATGACAGTCACATTGAAGCCACCTTTGTGGTCGGAGAGCTAGACTTGAAGCGGAAGAAGAAATCTGGTATTTTAATGCAGTGCGTCATTTATCAAAATGTAACTATAGAGAGGCTTATTTGAACGCATCCTGGAATGCTGTGTTTTTGAGGAAGTGTTCGGCTTCTAAGCTTTTTGATCTGAAAGGCAAGTAAAACCACCAGGCGGTCAGACTGAGGACTGGGGGTGTACTGCAGGTCTGTGGAGAGAACAGCTGGGCTACAGTCTTGTCCACAGTGGTAAATGACTTGCTGCACCCACTGGTAGTCACGCACATTGCTCACTCAAAGGGTCACAGGTTGCCATCCACTCAGCCCATCTACAGCTGCCCGAAGTCCAGATCAGTGCAGACAGTCATCTTTTCAAGGGGAGCCTGGTCAAAATCATCTTCCAGGCAGGTTGCACAACACCACTGCTGACATGATCATGGTGCTCTCCTTCTCAGCCACACATGGAAGCCATCATCGTGGCTGTTACAGTCTGTAAGGTCATTCAACATATTCCATGCTACTAGGATTATCGTTCTGCCTCAGGTAAATTTGATTATTAAGTTAAACTTGAATATTAGAGCAGTTATTTTATTGATACAAAAATACCTATACCACACATTGTGATGTCATTGCATATTAGCTAGGGTTTTGCTTATAAAAAACTGAAAATGTCACAGCTGCCCTTCCTTGGCATGATGTAGTTGCCCTGGAAACATGAATGAAGGATATGACAAAAAAGAATGTGAATTAGGATGATGTCGTCCTAACTTTTCCATTAATATATTGCTTGACAGAGGTAACGCTTAAAACAAAATGATTGCCCTTCAAATATCATTTGTAACACATATAACACCATTGCTGTTTAACTAAAAACACATACTTTATTTACTTTTGCAATTAAAGCAAAGTACATTGCTTTTGTCCTTTGTCATGTGAGGCTAAATATATGCATATAGACTAATTAGCATCTCGGACTAATCTGTTGTGTGTCAATATGCAGGGTTGCCAACTGTCACACATTTGCTGTGACAATCACGCTTTCAGATTAACACTTAAACAAGAAACCTTACGGGCAAATTTATATTACTGCATTATAAACCTAAAATTAGCTACATCAAAACTGTTGGGGTAGTTTGCAAACTCTACAGAACTGACCAAAGTTGGCAACTGTACAATATACCTTGCAATAGGCTGGCACCCTATTCAACAGCTAAGCCCCAGCCTTCTTCCCAATACATAAATCAATTTTAGAGTTTTATTTAACTTAAAGTATTTTCTTTATTTTAAT